TTGTAGGTGCACATGGCTGTGTGAGGATTTGGGCCTTGGATTGCCCAGGGAGGGGGAGGAGGCTGCTCCCCTAGCTCCACTGCCTCCCAGAGGTCCAGTCCACCCACCTTCAGACCTATAGATGCATAGATCTCTTAGGCATCCTCTTGTGGTTGGAAGGGAGTCCTGTGTTGGTTAATGGATGTCTGATTGGTTATAACTTAGAGGAGAAACAAAGGGAATCACTCACTCTGCCATGATGCTGACACTACTCTTGATCTCTTTTAAACAACAGAGTTCCTAAGAATCTCAAGGGCACTGTCCCTGCAACTATCACTGGAAGCCCAAGGTAGAGAAGGGTTTATCTCAATGAGTTTCCTGAACGTGGCTTTTGTGGGTATATCTGTTAATCAATTATAAATAAATGAATAAGAAACTCACAAAGTTTTAAAAAGAATTACATCAGTTTAACCTAAAGGAGACAGAGACAATACAAAATGAAAAGGGAATTTTGGAAACCAAAATTTTTACAGGCACAAGCAGGCTGAAAAAAAAACTATTCAGCTGCAATTCCAAGGTTCATTTTATGGAAAAGTTAATTCGGAGGTTGGAACTGAGAGCCCAGAGTGGAGCCAGATTCATAGAAAATCGTTACCAAGCAGTAAGAATGAGCCCTAATCAAGGAACTGGAAACGGCCCAGCTGGGTTTCAGAATTGCTACAGACAAGTGATTATTATATGCTTTCTGTTTTCCCTCTTTTTGGTTCAAAGTTTCTACAGCAATTAGAGGATGCTGGTCCCACCACTGCACATTGGGTGTAAGGGGTGGATAACACATCTTACTAGTTCACAGGTCTGTATATGAAGAGAAGTAGTAGTTAGGGGCTGTACCTGAGGAGCCTCCTCCCTACTTGACTTGGGTGGGTCAAGGGTAGAGAGAAAATATGCCATCTGCATCTCCCCTTCCCAGGAATCTGTCCCAATACCCATCTCGGTGAGCCAGCTCACTGACCCCTTTCCCTTGCTGCCCTCATGCAGTCCAAGAGCATCCTCTGTCAACTCCACTTCCCAGTCACTCTCAAATCCACCCAGGGCCACTGTTCTCTCACTGCAGCACCTCCTCCTGGTCTCCTGCTCGCCTCTACACTCTCCACCAGGAGCCCGCATGATCCCTGAGAGTACAAATCAGATCACATCCTCCCTCCCCTGTCATTCCTCACATCACTCAGGTCACTTCAGATGCCACCTCCCCAGAGGCCTGCCTTCTCTGACTGTCGGACCTGAAACAGCACTCTCCTTCACTGTCTCAAATCTCTGACCCCACTTCGCTTTTCTTCAGAACATGTAGCACAACTGGACAGTATGGCACAGATTCCCTTGCTTGTCATCTGTCTCATCCACTGGAATGTACTTAAGGGCAAGACATCTCCTGGTTGGTTCTCTTCACTACTGCACCACCAGCCAGTTTTGATGGATTCCTGGAGGCTGAGAGATGCAGAGACAGTTAAAGAGCCCAGACTTCCAGCCCCGATGGCCTAGTGCTTAAAATTCAGCACTCTCTGCTTCGGCGGCCTGAGTTTGGTTCCCAGGTGCAGAACCACACCACTCGCCTGTCAGCAGCCATGCTGTGGCAGCCGCTCACATAGAACTGGAAGGACTTACAACAAGGATATACAACTATGTGCTGGGGCTTTGGGGAGGGAAAACAAAAAGAGAAACATTGACAACAGTTGCTAGCACAGGGCGATCCTTAAAAAAAAAAGGGCCCAGAGTAGGGTGTTCTCTCTCTATGAACGGACATGGGTCTACAGTAAAATCACAGCACCTCAGACTCTTCAGGGCCCATTTCCAACAATCTGCTCATTTTCACTTGTGGGCAGTAAAGCAAGTTATTAACTTGACAGATACTCTAATCTCTGGAGATAAAGCAGTGAACCAAACAAAATTCTCACCACTACAGAGCTTACATTTTAGTGGGACTCACTCACTAGACATCCTAAAAGAACCTCCCTCTGAAAACATGTAGAATACTGAATAAAACTTTAAGATAAAGATTTCTGTTTAAATGCATTGCTGAGCTGGAAAAAAAAGTGTGGAATCCTTAGAGGCTAAAAATGGAAAAGGAAAAGCAGGTAACCCAGGGATGTGAACATACAAGCCAGCCTTGGCTCTGGAGGCATCTATAAGCCTTGGCGAACTTGACAGGGCCGGTCTAGGGCCTCATAAAGTTGGGAGTTATGGGGCACATGGCTTGATCTCCCTTCAGGAATGAAGATCTTATTATCCTAGCTGCTGTGACAGCTTCTAGGAGGCAGCCCTAAGCTGGCAGTCATCTTCAGAGGCTGCCTCATTTGAAGGGCGCTGCCTCATTTGAAGGGCTCTGCCTCACCCAATGTCAGGATGCTCCTCCTGGGGCACCTGCATTCAATGGCTGATCCATAGAGATATAAAGCCTGGTCCTCTCATCCCAACTGGGGGAGAGCTCTGGAGCGTTACCAAACCTGTCTTAGTTATCTATTGCTGCATAACACATTTCCATAAAACTTAGAAGCTTAAAACAACAAACATGTACTTTCTCAGTTTCTGTGGGTCAGGGGTCTGTGCATAACTTAGTGGGGTGCCTCCGGCTCAAGGTCTCTCATGAGGTTGTAGTCAAGCTATTGGCTGAGCAGCTCCAGTCTCATCTGAAGGCTTGACTGGGATAGGAGCAGGATCTGTTTCCCAGATCACTCTTGTGGTTGTTGCCACGCTTCAGTCCCTCACCACATGGGCCCCTACACAGGGCTGCTTCATAACATGGTGCTGGCTTTTCCTGGGATAAACAATTCTAAGAGGGACAGACAGTGTCCCAGATGGAAACTATGGTTTTCTCATATCGCAACCTTGAAGGCAACATCCCATCACATCTGCGGAATTCTATTCATTAGAAGCGAGTCAGTAAGTCTGGCTCACACTCAAAGCAAAGGGATTCTACAAAAGCAGGAATGCCAGGTGGCAGGGATCATTGAGGGCCATCTTAGAGGCTGCCTACCAGTCTTCAGAACTCTCAAGAGCTGGATAAGTTTCCTGTTGAGACTTCATCACAACCCTACTCTCCCTTCTGCCCTATCCCACTTCTTTCCCTCCCACAGGTGTTGCTCCCAAGAGCACTCACTAATGAATGTCCTGCTAACTACCAAACACCTTACAGAAAGCTCTGCTGCAGTGGAAGTCTAAGACCAGGAGTCTGATGCCCACCCCAAGGGCCAAATGCAGCTCATCTCCTGTTATCATGAATAGTTTCATTGGAAACGCAGCCAGAACCATTTGTTTAGGTATTATCTGGCTGTTTTCGAGCTACGGTGGCAGAAACGAGTAGTTACGACAGAGATTGTATGGCCTAACAACCTAAGACATTTATAATCTGGCCTTTTACAGAAAAAACTTGCTGATCCTAGTTCTAATAGCAGATAGCCACATAGGGGGCTGCCCTAGTGGTTAAGTTCGGCACACTGAAGTTCCACTTCAGCAGCCTAGGTTCGCAGGTTTGGATCCTGGGCGTGGACTCACACCACTCATCAGCCATGCTATGGCAGTGACCCACATATAAAGTACAGGAAGACTGGCACAGGTGTTAGCTGAGGGCTAATCTTCTGCAGCAAAAAAAGTTTAAAAGTAAAACTATGCCTTAAAAAAAAACTAGAAGAAGAAGCCACACAAACCTGCTACCCCTAAGGCTATACAAACGTGAATATGTCTACTATTTCCCTGCTCAAAACCTTTCCATGGATCCCAATTTAACTCATTTAACAGCTCATTTAACTTTTTCATCAATGGATTTCAATGCCAAATAGCTTAAAACAAGAATTCTGGGTGACAGGCAAACTTTACAAATAACAAATCTTTGTAGTTTCATGGTTTACGATCCAACCCACCAGACCTGTCCCATTGCAAAAACCCATCACACCAGTTCTGAATTCCTCACCTTTCCTCATGCTGTTCCCTATGCCTACAACACCCTTTCCTCTCTCCTTTGCCTTGGGAGATTCTGCTCCTCCTCCAAGAGCCCATCTCAAGAAGCAGCTATCTGACAAGGCTTCCAGGTGTCTGCACCCCTGCACAGCTGACAGCCTCCTCAATGCTTCCAAAAGACATGACATATACAGTTGTGAAACTTCATAAAAGATCTTGAGGCCAAAAATCTTAAAATACCTTTTAGTTTAGTTTTAAGGCTAAAAACCTTAAAGTCATTGGTGAGTCCTTTCCTCACACTCCATTTCCAATAACAGCTAGTACTTGTCCTTACTATGTCAGGCACTGTTGTAAGCGCTTTACATAGTATCGAATCACTTAATTCTCACAACATCCCCATGAGGTGGGTAACATAAGTATACCTATTTTACAGAAAAGGTACAGCGAGGTGAAAACTTGCTAAAGCTTACATCGTCAGTTAGTAGTGGACCTGAGATCCCAACTGCAGTCTGGTCCAGGGCATCCTCACTGTCCACCAAAATCTTGCATCTTACATGCCTACCAGCACCGTGCATTTTTTTACCCACAGAACATATCACCATATGATATATTCATATGTTTTCTGAAGCTTCCCCACTCTAAAATGAAAGCTTCATTAGAGCAGGGACACTGTTCTACTGTTTTATTTCTGAACAACACCTGGCACGTAGTATGCCCAGAAGAGTTACTGCCTGCACGTATGACACTTGGCACACAGTACCTGAGTTATTTTGTTACGTGTCTGCCCCATCAGGTCTCATCTCCATATTCCTACCTTAGGGTCTGGAGCACATCATGCAGTCAATGATTTTGATCATATGTGTTTCAGGGCTTAAAGTCAGAGGCCTGGACCAACAGGTTCCACGAGGACCTTTCCTGCTGTAAGAACTGTGCCCATTCATTCCTCACCCCAATCCCACTATGGTGTCGGGGGATTACTGGTCCTTCCCAATATTGGGCTTACTGAGTGCCTTATAAGCCACAAGCAATTTACCACATTTGATGACGATGACAATAAGCACAAACTATAATCCTGAGGAAGATTTTTTATTGTCTTTTGCCTAGCAAAGTTAAAGGGCTTCGGTTTATCTGGATCAATATATATGGGTCTTAGATCTTAAGCAAACACTTAATACACAAAACCATCTCCCAGCCCTTTTCCAGGGGCATCTTCCAATGACGCAGGCAGAGCTCCTCTGATAACTCCACTGTTTGAAAACAGACACGTGTTTTGCTTGTCCCAAGGTTTCCAGCAGTGATTAGGTCACAGAAGCAGCAACATTTTAAAACATTGAGAAATTCCAAGAATAAAAAACATGACCACTCATTAATTTACAATGTAGATTCAAATTCCCTTGAGAGCCTTTCCCAAGTAAAAGTTCTTTCCAGAACCGAATACATTTGGCAATCATTATCCACACAGTGTCACCACAGACCATATGGGTCTTAGAGTTCTATGCAGAAAGGACACAGGCAGCAAACCAAAAAGTGAAAAAAAGGCTCTCAGGTTTCAGCTTTTCCAGGGTGTCAGCCAACCAGTCAACCAGAGCCTGACAGTGAACCTAATGGGGAGAATTTATTAGCAAGAGGTTACCTGTGAGAACTGCAAAAGAACCCTCAGCACACAACTGCTCTGTCCAAACCCTGGCTCTCTGAGAATGGTCCAGCTTGGCGTCCAGCACCATCCTCTAAAGTGCCTGCCCGGGAAAGCTCAAAGGCTGCCAGGAAAACTTACTGTTTGTTCCAGCCAAAACCTGATGATAGGAGGACAGACCCCTGAACCCCTTCATGGAGCAGTTACTTTAAAAAAGCTTGCAATTATAAGTCCTCTCTCTGCCCCCTGAAATGCAAATCTTCTACTACCCCAAACTGTCTCAAGGCCCTGCAAGCGTCTCTCTGGCCTCTCACTCCTCGTCTCTGTGGGAAGAGCCGGTGGGCGCCTTGGTGCGACTTGTACCATCGCTCCTATGGCAAAGATAGACGCTTGTTTCTCCCCTGCACATGCTCCAATTAGCAAACCCAGATGGCCTAGTCACGCGGCCCAGACGCCCTTCTGCCCTCCTGGGCCCGGGCCCCCGCACCGAAGCCTTGAAAAAGTCTGGTGCCCTTTGTTTTGGCGAAGCCGAGCTCAGGTCACGCTGGACTCTCTTCCCCTCTGCGATAGCGCTTCCTGAGTAAAACCCATCCTTACCACGCTAGCGCCCGGCTTCGTTTACCTCGGACACCTGTGAGCGAGAACCGATTGTCCCGGGGTTAAACCTGCAGTCAGGCATCAGAATGCCAACTCTTGCAGAAACGGGCAAGTGAAACTCTCCAAACTCCCAGCTAAATTTAAAAATATCCAATAACGGTCATTCTGTTTCACACCTTTAAACTTTGCGCTCCTCCCCCCACATTTTATTCTACGGCCTAGGGATTTCTTTGGTTCAACCCCTTTGGCCACTTGACAGGTCTACACCCCTTACTGTTCGACTAATAACCTTTACATTTCATTTCTTAAAAAAACTGAAATTACTTTTCTCTAATTACCAACGTAAAAGGAGGGAAACCGTCCAAGCGAAAAGCTGAGCGCGGCCTCACCGGCCCCGTCCTTCAGCCGCACCCGCAGCCGTCGATCTGCCGGTGGAGCTCCACGAGCCTCTGCCCCATCAGCGCCGCCTCCGCCGCCTTCCTCTCCACCTTCTCGCACAGCCTCATCACCCTCTCCTCCGCCCCGGCGCCCACGGCGCTCTCCTGCGACGCCTCCACCTCGCTCTTGAGGGCGTCCAGCAGGCTGTCGATCTCCAGCAGCTTCCGGCGGGCCCGCAGGTGCGCGCGCACGTGCTCGCGCTCGAGGGCGGCGGCGTCCCGGCGGGCGGCGTCGAGAGGGGGCTCGGGAGCGTCTCCCAGTCCCGCTCGGGCTCCCGGCCGTCGTCCGCGTCCACGGGCCGCATCGCGCCGCCGCCGCCACCGCCCCGCGGCCCGGTCAGCGCGCCCGAGAGGCCGGCCGGCCGCCAGCGAGCGCCGAGCGCGGCGGAAGCGTCACCGTGACGAGCAACAGTTCTTCAGTTTTGTCCACTTTTTAATAAAACTTTACTTTCCAAAACTTTTCGCCTGAAAATTGTGAAAGCCACGTCCAAGATGGCCCTCTAGCCGTCAACCAGCGTTCTGCTTCTTTGCTGCCCGTTTCACGACAAACCGGGACCCTTTACGTTCACGCCCCCGGTGGAAAACCTCAAGCTGGAGCGCGCGCGCGTCCCTCCGGGTCTCGTGCCGGGTTTCGGGGGTCGCGCATGCGCAGTTGTGCACGCTCCTCGTCCTTCCCGTTGGCTCCCGTCTTTGCCAGTGTTCAGGGGTACTTCAGGCGGAGGCCGGCATGCCTACCAAGTTTTCAGGGCATGGGTTTTAACACAGAGTTGCAAAAGTGGCTTTTACCAGAAATGCAGTTACACCAAACACCGTGATCTAGGGCCACGAGACAACAGTTCCTCGCCTCCGTGGGTCCCCACGTCCCTCCCAGGGCCTGCCTCCCAGCAAGGCCTCGAGACATTTTGCTTTACCCTGACATGTGCTGTCTGGAAGGGATAAGTGGGTAGGTTTATGTTGTAGACACGCTAACGGGAAAGACTGGGGAGATCCTGCTTGCACAAGTGCTGCAGTTTGGGACTCAGTGTTCTGGTGGATCAAGGAGACCCAGTAATTCCACTTCTGAATACCTGCCCGGGATTTTGAGAGGATAAAGTGAGAAAACGGGCTCGAAAGTGCATTGTAGACTTGGTAGAGCTCCGGGCAGATCCTGGTGTTACTAGACTGTGTAATCTGGTAATGGACGGCAAAATATTGCAATTAGATCTGGCATTTGTTCCTAGCTTCACAACATGCTGGTTGGGAGACTTTGGGTAAACAGCCTGAAGCTGGCTTTCTGGGCCTCACTGTCCCCACTTGTGTTTAGTGGGGTTGAGCACCACGACCTCGAGGGAGCTGTAATAGGCAGAATGGCCCTGAAAGATGTCTGCATCCTAATCCCTGGACCCTGTGATTATGTTATGAATTACATAACGTATTTTGTAATTTTTGCCTTAAAATAGTGAAAGCCACATCCAAGATGGCCGATGCAATTAAATTTTAGGGCCTCAAAATAAGGAGATTAACCTGGATCATCCAAGTGGGCGTAATCTCTGCCCTTAAAAGCAGAGAATGTTCTTGGGCTGGATTTAGAGTGGTGTAGTAGAAAAGGAAAGCATGAGATGCTTGGACAACGCCCCCCCCCCCCAGCCCCAGCCCCCACCCCCCAGCCCCATGCTGGCCCTAAGATGTAAGGGGATTTGGCTGGGAGACTTTAGGCAAATGTAAAGCATGAGAAGGACTTGACTTATTACTGCTGGTTCAGAGATGCAGGTGACCCTGTCCAAGGACAAGAGAGAGGCCTCTAGGAACTAAGGGTAGCCCCAAGCTGACAGCCAGCAAGGAATTGGGACCTCAGTACTACAATCCCAAGGAACTGGATTCTGCCAACACTCTGAATGAGCTTTGATGCAGATTCTTCCCAGAACCTCCTGATAAGAGCCCAGCCAGCTAACGTGTTGATTTTGGTCTGGTCAGACCCAGAGCAGAGAAACCTGCTAAGCCAACCTGTTCTATTTTTTTACAACAGTTTTAGGTATACAGAAAAATTGAGAAGATAGTATGGAGAGTGTGTGGCTCACCTTTTCACTTTGATTCTGGTTCCTTTGATAAACACAAGATTTTACTTAAAAAAATTCTTTTTTAGTTGTAAATATGCATGACATAAAATTTACCATTTTAACCATTTAAAAGTGTATGGTTCAGTGGCATTAAATACATTCACGTTGTTGTTCAAACATCACCACCATCCATCTTCACAATACAAGAAATGTTCACACATGGAGGTCTATGGGGAAGCCCTTCTGGTTTATACCTGATTTGGCCTGAACTTTACGTGAACAAAAGAAGCCTGATTATGGCCTGTCAGGCGCACATTGTCCATCTCCTTTAACCACTAAAGTAAAGACTTAATTCAGTCATTCCCCTACAGTGAAGAACGTGCTCTTTGAAGGTGAGGATTAATGCCTCCCTTCTTGTGACGCCAGGTAAGTCTCCCTTCCCACAGCCATCATGTCAGCCTGCTGAGTGCGTGCTAATCTATAACAAAAATATCTCCTTGAAACCTTGAAAGAATGTTCTCCTGTCTTGCTCAGTGTATGTTCTTTGTTCTGAAATGGTATATAAACTGTGCTGATAACCACGCTTCTCCGGGGAGCTTCCTCCCTTGCTGAAGGCTGCGCTCCTGGGTTAGTCCTCAGCTTGGCCAGAATAAAACTCTCTTCTGTTCTTTCCTATAGATTGATTATTGATTATTTGTGTTGACATTCAGAACTTTTTCATCTTCCTCAACTGAAACTCTGTACCCATTCCATTAAACAATAATTCCCCATTCTCCTCTCCCCCAGCCACTGTCAACCACTATTCTACTTTCTGTATCTATGAATTTGAATGCTCTAGCTTTTTAAAAAAATTGAGCTGAAATTCATGGAGCATACAATTAACCACTTTAAAGTGTACAATTCAGTGATATTTAGTGTCTCTACAATGTTATGCAACCACCAGCTCTCTCTAGTTTTAAAACTTTTTCATCACCCCGTAAAAACACTCATTACCCATTTAGTAATTACTCCACATTCCTCCCCTCCTCGTCCCCTGGCAACCACAAATCTAATTTCTGTCTCTATGAATTTGCCTATTCTGGGTATTTCATAGGTTTTAGTCTGCTACAGCTGCTACAATGGAATACCACAGAATGAGTGTTTTAAACAACAGAAATGTATTTTCTCATAGTTCTGAAGGCTGGAAGTCCAAGATCAAGGTGTTGGCTGGTTTGATTTCTCCTGGGCCTCTCCCTTTGGCTCACAGATGGCCACCTTCTCACTGTGTCCTCACATGGACTTTTCTCTGTACTTGAGCATCCCTGTATCTCTTCCTCTTCTTATAAGGACATCAGTCATATTGGATTAGGACCCACCTTATGACCTCATTTAATCTAATTACCTCTTTAAAGGCTACTATGGTCTGAATATTTGTGTCCCCTCTCCCCTCAAATTCATATGTTGAAATCTTAACTCCTAAAGTGGTGGAGTTAGAAGGTGGGTCTTTGGGAGGTGCTTAGGTCATGAGGGAGGAGCCCCCATGAATGGGATTAATGCTCTTGTATTAATGCTCACAGAGCTTCCTGGCCCCTTCCACCATTCGAGAACTCAGTAAGAAGGTACTGGCTATGAACTAGAAAGAGAGCTCTCACCCGAACTTGACCATCCTGCTGCCTTGATCTTGGACTTCTAGCCAATTTTGTCTCTAGAAACCTTACTAAACTCTACTACTAATGCTGATGATTTATCTTTAGATTCTTTCAAATCAATGGACTGTGAGAAATAAATTTCTGTTGTTTATAAGCTACCCAGTCTGTGGTATTTTGTTATAACAGCCTGAACAGACTAAGACAAAGGCCCTATCTCCAAATACAGTCATATTGGGAGTTAAGAGCTTTGACATACGAATTTTAGGGGACACAGTTCAGTCCATAACATCATATAAAAGGAATCATGCAACATGCGCCTTTCATGTTTGGCTTCCTTCGCTTAGCATAATATTTTCAAGGTTCATCCAAGTTGTAGCATGTGTCTGTACCTCATTCCTTTTTCATTGTATGGATATACAATGTTTTTCCATTCATCTATCGATGGCCATTTGGGTTGGTTGTTTCCACCTTTGGCTATTATGAATGATGCTGCCCTAAACATTCTTATACAAGTTAATATTTTATTTTTGATGAAAATAAAACATCATGCTCTCCTTTTATGCTTTTTTTGTTTGTCTTATTTCAAGAAATCCTTCTCTACCCTGAGGTCATAAAAAATGTTCCTTTATATTTTCTTCTAAAATACTTAGTGTTTTGTTTTTCATATTTGTGGATGATAAATCTGGAATTGAGGTTTGAGGCAGGGGTCTAATTGCACTCCCCCCACATGTATAGCTAGGTATCCTAGCCCTGCTTACTGAATGTTTCATCCATTCCTTCTAGTCTGCAATGTAACAGCTGCTATATGTCATGTCTCTGTATTTGCTTGTGTCTCTATCTGGGCTGTCTGTTCTCGTCCATTGGTCACCATCTCTAGGCTAATATTACATTGACTTAATCACTTAATATATAAATATTAATAATAATATATAATAATAATAATATATATTATTAATAATAATATATAATTTATATATTAATACATAATATATAAATTAGCTTTATAGTGAGTATTGATATCTGGTTAAGTATGGCAAGTCCTCCCACCTGGTTCTTCCTCAGGAATGTCCTGGTTTTTCTGCTTGTTCATCTAAATTTTCAATTAGTTTTTTAAGTTTGACCAAAGTGATCAAACAGACCCACCTGATGAGATTTTTATTGGGATTGAATTGACTCATTGAATTGATTCAGAGAACAATTACAATACTAATTCTGTCAATCTATTCAGTTGTTCTTTAATGTATTTCAATATAATTTAATAATTTTATTCATAAATCTTTTACGTATATTATGTTAAAATGTTCCTAGTTACCATTTATTCTGGGTTGAATAGTGTCCTTCCCACCCAAATTCATGTGCACTCTGACCCTCAGAATGTGACCTTATTGAAATAGTGTCTTTGCAGATGTCATTAGTTGATATGAGATCATACTGGATTAGAGTGGACCCAAAATCCAACGACATGGTATGTGAAGGCCACGTGCAGACAGACACAGGGAAGATGGCCATGTGACAATGGAGGCAGGGATGGGGCTGATGCAGCTACAAGATAAGGAATGACAAAGATTGCCCACGATCACCAGATTCTGGGAGAGACAAGGAAAGATTCTTTCCTAGAGCCTTCAGGGGAGCACGGCCCTGCCAACACCTTGATTTCTGACTTCTACCCTCTAGAACTGGGAGAGAATAAATTTCTCTTGTCTTAAACCCCCCAGTTTGTGGCAATTACAATATCCCTAGGAAAATAATGCAGAATTTAAAAAGTTTTTGGTCCTATTAGAAACGATAGCTTTTAGAAAATATATTTTCTCTTTATTCCTGGTGAATAGAAACACTACTGACTTTTATGTATTTTGTTTCTAGAAACCTTGCTAAACTCTACTACTAATGCTGACGATTTATCTTTAGATTCTTTCAAATCTATGATGTTTCAAAAACATCCTATCATTGGAATGTAATGAGAATAGCTGTGGGGGTTTTAAAAACATGTCCACAGATTCTTTGCTACTTCTCTTGTCGAGTTGGAACCTGATTCCCCTCTCCTGGAGTGTGGGCTGGACTTGCTAACAAATGGACTACAGCAGAAATGAAGCGTCTTGCTTGTCATATTGAGGTGTAAGAAGACTGCAGCTGTCACCCTCGCTGTCTCCGTCTCTTTTGGATCACTCCCTCTGGGGGAAGCCAGTTGCTGTGTCTCGAGCTTCCCTAAGGAGAGGTCCATGTGGCAAGGAGTTGGTATAGGACAACCGTATAAAACTCCCACTTGGAAAAGGGAAGAATGGGATGCACACAGCACCCCTGGCCTGCAGGAGGCATCAGAAGCCACAGGCAGGAGTGCAGCGCTCCCCGCCGCGCCCGCTTAGCACCGCCAGGAGGAGGACCTACTCAGGGAGACTTCCTTGTCTATTATCCTCCCAGGCCACATAGGAAATATGCCTTGGAAAGGGCGCCATTTTGAGGGCAAAGCATAAAAGGTATAAGGGTAGCAGGAGCCAAATGGCTTTTCTGAAGCCTGCCTCCTGCTGCTGCAGGCGCTGGGCTCAGGAGTTCCTCCAGAGGTTGAACAACCACAGGATTTAGCATCCCCGGCTTGGAGTTTCTTTGGCAATATAATTTCTTCAAAACCCTGGGATGCTTCCTGTTTACTTTCAGTCAGTTCCAATGTGTAGGTAATCATAGCCAAAAATCTCGTGAAGACTCTAGTTTTTTATTCACTGGTCTCTGTGTTCGGTCCTTCCTCTGCTCTCTCAACTGAGTGGTGTCCATGTGGAACAAGTTGCTTTGAATAGGAAGGTGACAGTTGTAATCTGGTCTTTGCTGCTTGACTGGCAGCCACTATTGAGGAGGAACTCTTAAAGGAGGTGCTTGAGAAAGACCTGGGGGCCTCAGTTTTATCTTTGAGAAGGCTTCTTCTGGAGCCATCTCTTATAACTGTTTCAGTTTG